GGCGGTGTGCAGTGATAAATGTTATCGCATTCATAGTTAATCACCCTTGTGGGTTCTACTAATTTGCCTCCACTATACATTCGCGGGCTACATACACGCGAACGAGCGCAGCTCTTAGGCGCACGTTCGCGTGTTTTGCGGCGTCGCCGTCGCCGTCGACGTAACCAGAGGAGGACGGGAGGGTACACAGGAGGAAGAGGGGAAGGTACAGAGGAGGGAAAGGGGAGGGTGCATAGAAGGAGGGAAGGGTATGGAGGAAGAGAAAGGGGAGGGCACGAAGGAGGAGAGGTACGCACGAGGAGGAGGGGAGGGGTGGGAGGAGGAGGGGTGGGTACGTAGGAAGAGGGGGAGGGTACGGAAGATGAGGAGGGTACGAAGATAATTTAAGGGCACAAAGTCGCAAAATCAAAATACGTCAAGAGCTGGCGTTTTAACTTCTCATTACAAAAATTTGCAAACGTCTTTTATTTTAGAGCGCAGCTCTTAGGCGCCCGTTTCCGCGTATAGCGTCGTCGCCGTCGCCGTCGCCGTCGCCGTCGGCGTCATCGCCTCGCTAATTTCAGAGGGAAATTGAATTGGTGTTGATGACACGTGACGTCAATTTTCCCGCTAAATCTAGCGGAGAAACTGGATAGTTCATAGGTGACGTGACACAAAGTAATGTGATTTCATTTTCCCCGCTATATTTAGTGGGAAAACTGAATTGGTGCTGAGGTCACGTGGCGTCAATTTTCCAGCTAAATTTAGTGGGAAAACTGGAGGAAGAGAGGGTATGAAGGAGGAGGGAAAGAGGAACTGAGGAGTAGGAGTAAGAGGGGAAGGATGAGGAGGGGAGAGGAGGAGGGGAGGATGAGGGAAGGAGGAGAGGAGGAGGAAGAAGGGAGGGGAGGAGGCTGGAAGGAGGAGGGGACATACCCTCCCCTCCGTAACCTTGTCCTCCTCCTCCTCAAGAGCTGCGCTCTAATTTCGCATTACAGGCATTTGTAAACGCCTCAGTTTTTTCTCCTCCTGATACTATACAAGTTAACGGTGAAATGCTTAAACGTGTCACAGAAGTCCCTAACACAAAGGGTCGTGTGGCGAACACGGCAACACAAATGCACACTTCTTTTACTCGTAACAATTGTTCCGTGCGTATGTTGAAACAGAGATAAGAAGTTAGTCAACTCCAATAGACCCTTTTTCAAAAGTCTGCGACATCGCCTTTCCGCCATTGCTTGATCACGTACTCTGGGCCTCTATTATTGGACAGGGGGACTGCTTCAGCGTTTGGCGTGAACTCGGATTCATTCACACGCTACGTGTCCAGTGCTTGAATAGACAGATGCTAACGGCTGTACCTTTTAGAAAGGGCGGTAGCTTGCGCCACCTAGCCTAGAGAGTAAGAACCGAAGGTATGATTTCTTTCCTTCGCCAATTTGCTTATCCCCTGCAATTTCGTAACTATCACCAGGCGGTGTGGGATATCACCACGCAACGGCGACCGCCACTGTTCCTCAATTAACTTTTCAAAAAGGGTCTTTTGGCGTCTGGTGTGTCTCCGCTGTAGATGATGAATGTGACCAATGCACCACCGCTGCCAGCTTGTGATACGCGTATTCAACCCGCACCACACAGTAGTGATACCTGGCCGCATGCCGGTACGATTCTCATTCAGATTGTAATGGCTTTCCCTCAACGTGCTTCCAGTCTTTTACTTTGCTACCAGGCTTTGTTCCTATATAAATGAATCGGTCGTACATTGAGGAATGCCCTTCACCTTAATATTTAGTAAAAATAACAGCAAACAATTCGGAAAGTAGTTTCATTCTTGCGGATGAGACACGTTAGTTTTGTCATTTTTTTCGAAGCATTTTTAATGTCTGTGTAACGTGTGTGGCGCGGGCCGTTCCGTCAGTATTTTGATGTAACGACTCTTACGCATACGTTATTAATATGTTCGTGCCCCTGCTTTATAAAGCAGCATATATCAGTGGTGATTAGGAATCTTTCCGATATTTATAATTGTTAGAATGAATGTAGCAAGCGCTGGCTCCTACTTTTATATATTTGTTGCCTTTGTACGGATGTACCAAATAATGATAAATGGTGAAATAAGCCTACGAATACCACATATAAGATCAGTTTTTCTTTTTCAGATCTTAACCTATATATTCTTGTTTCTTAACGAATAAAAAAGTGCGGCCTTGTGTGATGCCTGTTAAGAAGTGTCTGGTAAGAGGACTAATATTCTATCCCGAAACAGATTTTGAATCTAACAGTCAGAATTCTCAAAGTGGGAGTAAAAACTTGTTGATTTTAGGTCAACTAACAAATGTTCACAAAAACCGGAGAGTAAACCTCCAGTTTTACTTGACCTAGCTTTTAACTCACAGCACCATTTCTACCATTTCTTTTTAAACTTCGCCAAAGCGTTAAAAAAAATAGCATTTGCAACTGGTAGCGCATGTCAGCCAGATAGTTTTTTTTTTTTTCTTCATTCTAAAATTTAAAGCGTCCTGCTGTATTCGGCCTCCTGGTCGAAAAAGCAGAAAGGCAGGAGTTGTTTACGTTACGGCTTTTGAGTGACGTTGGCATAAACTTTGGAGATATTTTTCTTTGCTCCGTTACTCGCATGCACTCAGGAGCTTCTCGCGTCCTGCGTCTGACACTTGAATGCCCGACTGTAAAAGCGTGGACGTAATATAAGTCCTGGGTCAAGCCCTGTCACTGATCACCGTCTTCCATATTCTACGTGCTCGGCTTGAGAAACGGAGGTCAACCTGTACACCAAAAATCCGTGCAATGTTTACCAAGTTAAAGGCATAGCAAGAACACCTGTTCAGAAAATTTAAATTTGTCTGCAATAGCCATTTTTAGAAAAATAAAGAAAAATCGGCTTTTTGGGGGTTCTGCATTTGCAACATTTGCATTTGCAACATTTCCTGGCACGTGGCCAGGAAATGTTGCCACGTGCATAAACTTCTAAATGTTTTTTTGTTTTTTTTTGCGAACTTAGATTCGTGATTTGTATCGAATGCACTTCAAAGTCAAATCTGCCCCGTGGTAATTCAAATGGCGTGAATATATTCTCTTCTTATCAGACGACGCGAATGCCATTCTGCCACATAGAGACTGTTTATGAGTGCGGTATGCCGTACGACACGTAACCTGGGTTGTTAAACATGGATGTTGCAGCAGTTTTCAAGCATAATGTGATGCTAGACGCCGATATATCGACACTTGCATTACGGACTGAATAATCGATTTTTTAGGTTTGTGATATGAGCTTTCGAAACAAAATGCTCTGAACAGTTTTACGCTAACATCATGTCCAAACGACTTGTTTGAAAATGATTAACTAACGAAATTTTTCTTATTCATAATATTTTTAAAAGATGAGGTCCACAATTTTTACAATGCCTACTGTTCCTTGCACGCATGATAGATTGCGCAAGCCAAACATGTGAGTAATATATATTTAATAAAATGATCGCCTTATGGAGACTCGTATATGATCGTTACCACACATGCCTTGTGTAGAACTCCGCTGAGTCACATGTCGCTGTACCTATACTCTAAAATACCATTATGATCGATGCGTTTGTGCTGCCTTACAAATTCATATTGGCGATAACATACAAAATATTAATTTCTCTTTATTACACATGTTAACGTAGCACCGAGGATGAATGTTAATTTGTTTTATATTTTAGCCGCCATGTTACTCTTTGGTACATTTCTTACATATAAAATTGAACGCCTGCGACTTTTAAAGTGAGGTCAATAGCTGCTTTAAAGACCTTAAACGTCACCTCTATTCGACTCCCTAATGTCCTATGTTTAATCACCAAAAGGGTAATGCACTGAGGACGAGCGTCCCATATTTAATTATATTATTCTACCAAACTTTTACAAGTACATATCCCAGCACCTGATATTTATAAAGATTCTGATAGATAAGTGACCAAAAAGCCATACGCACTCACAATTAGAGAAAGACAGAGGAATAATGAGGTTATCCTTCATGAGAAAATTTTTTAGAGCGCAGCTCTTAGGCGCCCGTTTCCGGCTTGAGCGGCATCGACGTTGGCGTCGGCGTAACCGCGCGCGTTGCATTATGGAAATAATAAAACCGGGCGTGACCGCGCGTTGCATTATGGGAAAATTTCCCCGCTAAACATAGAGAGAAAATTTGGCAAACTGTAAATTTATCAAGAAAATTTTAACGCTAAATTTAGCAAAAATTTTTTTACTAAATTTCCCCACAAAATTTAGCGGAATAGCGGAAAAGTTTCCCCGCTTACTTCATGGGGAAATGTTTCATTAAATTTAGCGGGGAAAGCTTCCCGCTGAATTTAGCGGGGAATTTGTCCCGCTAAGTTTGGCAGGAAATTTGACGAAAATTTCCCGCTTGTCGGGAAATTTTCAGGAGAGGGGAAGGAGAGGGTACGGAGGGGCATACCCTTTCCGTCCGTACCCACCTTCCTCCTCCTCAAGAGCTGCGCTCTAATTTGGCATTAAAGAAAATTGTAAACGTCTTTCAATCCCTTTTTTTATCATTTACATAATAAGATGGCATTGCATCAGATTCAAGCTTGCCTCCGCGTGCGAAGTCAAGGTAATTAGAAAAGCAGAAAGACCAGACGAAAAGAAGCTACAACAAACCGTGGCCGATCCTGATCTTGCTGATAGTGAAAGGTTAGCTTGGACTTACAGAAGAGAATTAAAAAAGGACGAAGCAGGACACAGATATTTATGTTTTGTTCCGTTCTTTCTTGGTTCCTTCCCGTAAGTTCTAGCTGACCCTCTACCAGCATGCAGCAACTATCTCAGTTTAATCCTCTAACATGATTTCAACAATTAAAACCCGTAACTCGAACTTCTGGCGACTGCCAAACAGCGGGCACAGTCACCGTCAACTCCTTCCTGTCACTACAAAAAGTTAATGAGTAGCCACTAGTCGCATATTACAATGTTCGGGTCTTTCGCAATGAATGGTTTGTTCACGACTCTCGCAGGTCGCCTGGATGTTCGTGGAGAAGTTTACGCTGCTGACGCTGGCCAAGAGCGTGATCACGCACAACTCGCGCTTCAAGGTGACACACAACGGACACCGCACCTGGCACCTGCACATCCACGACGTCCAGGAGCGCGACAGGGGGGCCTACATGTGCCAGATCAACACGTCGCCCATGAAGTCGCAGATCGGATACCTCAACGTCGTTGGTGAGGCAGACCTCATGCTACACTGCGATTGGTTGCGCTAATAACGATTTTTTTTTATCGACGTGACGTGTTCTGGTGTCCCTCCGGACATTTAGCGTAGAGTCCGTTATAGTGGAGGCCATGTCGAAACAAAACGGACCGATAAAAGCGGCAGAGAAGTGACGCCAACATCGTGAGAGAAAACACGTGATGCGACCATATTGCATCATGCGGTCAGGTTGCATGACGAACGTGCTCTTTTTATGAATTGCAACGTGTGATTCTTTTGTCAGGGATGACCAAATCTTGCTGCAATGACTGCCTTTTTGATAGATGGAGGAAGATAGATTCACCAAGGAAAGAAGAAATATACGAACGTACATACAAGTTGGCCAGCCTAACGAGAAATGCATGTAGAAAAAGAAGTACAAAGCGATAATAAAAAAGAAGATGGGTTAGAGAACTTCAAGGGTACTAGTAATCTAATGAAGAGGATATTAAACACTCCTCGAGGGAGGCCTCGGAATTATATAGATCATCTGCGAAAACGTTTAGCGCTCTACAAACTCCAAAAGAAACGGTTTTCGAGGATTACAAAAGGCACGATTCTCGTACGGTGTTCGTATTGACAAAGCTGATGGAATATGATACAATAACAATTCGAATCGTTCCCAGCTGCATTTTGCTTTGACCAAACTCTCTATTCACAAGTGTTTCTTTGAAGCTTTTGACAGCGGGATACGAGTATCGAAAAGCTCTCATAAGCAGTACAAATATTCGACAAAGTGTATAATATCACGCACAAAGTGTTGTCGAAAATGCTCTTATAGAATTGTGTTGCACAAGTACAACAAAATTACGCTAAACCAATACGTTAAATCTGCATTGTGCACGATATGAAAAGCGCCTGTTTGTCTGCGACTTTTCTATCATCTAATGTCTAAAAACACACACACACACACGCGCACGCACACACACACACGCACGCACGCACACACACACACACACGTCACGTGAGCTTTTCCAAGTCTTGTTCTCATACCTTTGAGAATAGAACAGAACAGTTCTTGGGTCGTGTTCTCTTACTCCGTGAAATTACAAGACGAGTTATGGAGGAAGGCGAGGATGGACTCGACAATTTAAGAATTGCATACGCTCTTCACCATTTCAATTCTCGGAGCTCTTGAAGAATCCAAAAGATTCACTCGAACAATAAAATATTTTAACATTAACAAATAATTATTTTGTTGGAAGAAACACACTTCTGTGGTTACTACAGCCAGCTTGAGAAACGGAGGGCGCGGTACGTCCCAAGTATCTCATTATCGCTCTACAGCCAATCAGGTTGAGGCATCAGCCATTAAGCACGCGGAAGAGCCAATCGCGAAGCAAGAAGCGTGAACATGATGAGCCGTGACCTGTGTTCCTTAAGTGGTATTTAACCAAAGGTATGCTCACTTTTTTGTTCTTGTTTAGTAAATAATCTAGGTTCCCCAAGATACCAATGCCATAGTCAACCATGATAAAAGAATAGCAATCAGTATAATGGTGCTTTCTTTCTGATCAAAGAAGACGAAATATATAAAATAAAGTATTTTAGATTTACACGATCATGGAGATTTTATTTGTCGAAATTCCATTTCGTACAGGACGACAACGAGGCCGGTTAAATTAGGTTTGCTTCGTTTTTTTTTTTGTTATTGATTTATTTTATTGAACGTGCGACGTCCAGAGGGCGTAATTTCAGTAACACAATAATGCTACAAATATGCAAATGTAAACAAACATGCGCGCAAATACACACAAAATTATACACGCAGATACGCACAAGTATACAAGCATGAATAAACTCGACTATCGATAAAAAAAACACAAAATAAAACTATGACATATAAATAAAAAGAATAAGCATTCGCAACTTTCGTTGGTCAACGCTTAAGCGGAGCGTTGAGCGAGACATTGCGCATTTCTGTAGTGCCGCCCAAGATCGACGAAGAGAACACGAGTTCAGACACCGAGGTCCGAGAAGGCGGGGACGTGGCACTCAAGTGCATCGCCAAGGGCACGCCGGAACCGGAAATCACCTGGAGGAGGGAAGACGACCAGGACATCGCGTTCGGCCGCGAGAAAGGTGAGTCACGCACTCGGCTGTACCTTTCCGATTGGATGTACGTATGATATTGGCTACGCCCTTTGTAAACGGGCGGTAGCTTGCGCCACCTACTTTGTTGGTAAGACAACGTTGGCGGTGGAAAACGTCTGCGACTGGTGTGTTTTCCGCGTTCTCAAACGTCGTAGAAGCGTCGCGCTTTCGCCGGGCGCGATCCTGGCGGTGTCACATCGCAACAGCGGTTGTGGATGTGGAAGAAGCATGCTTTGCTGCCGGTCGCTTTCCAGTTTGACTCGTGGCTGCTTCAGGAGCCTCAAGGTGGGACGCCGCGACGAAGGCTACTACACTCGCGTTCGTTCGTATTTTAAGCCTGAACCTCTACGATCGACCGCCAGAGTCGCGACATCAAACAACACGATGCGACGGCTCCTGCGACGTCCTTTGTTACAACTACGGGACAAATTTCGATGCATGAACGGTGCATAGGAAGCAAATCACACACGAGTCAACGATGCATTCAAAACACCATCAAATAATTGGCGTCGACCTTTACCTTTCAAAGCCCTGCAATGCGTGAAATACATTATAGGATGAGGGGAATTCGTGCGTTAAGTGACGTCATTTTCCGGCTAAACTTAGCGGGGAAACTGATTTGGTGTTTTAGCGAGTAGACAAAATTTCCCGCCAAATTTAGCGGGGAAATTTGAATTTACGTTTAGGTCGCGTGCCCTCAATTTCTCATGGTGAATAGGTCACGTGACGACGCTTTTTACGCTAAATATCGCGGAAAATACACGGCTGGAGGGACGGACGGACGAACGGACAGCATTTTGAGGATTGGGGGATAGATGCACTCCTCTTTCAGTTAAGCTACACAAAAATAGTAGCACAGGGTTGTCTAGCTAAGCCTTTTTCTTCGCTGGGAATTCGAGAGAGGTGATGTTTTCTTGCGTGGTCCTTTTGTTGTTAGAGACTATTCGGAACTCTAAAAGAGGCGTTATCACAAAACAAAAAAAGACGCAAAGAAAATGAAAAAAAAAAAATTTTTTTTGGGGATCTATCTAGCAATTGTGTGTGCAGCGAGGAAGTATCGCGGTCTAGCGGCCCATATGTGAAACAGGAAATGAGATGCAATGTGCGGAGTCATAGATGCCAGTAGAAAGGAAAATAGAGGATCATATTTGATGCTGTAAAAGCGCTCATTTCTTTCGGCTTATTTTTACGTTGGCAAGCACCCATGAGTATGTGCGTGTGTAACTCCGCGCAAAAAACGTGATATTAATAATAAATAAAAAAAGAAACGTTCAAGCTGTCAAAAAAAAAAAAAAGAAATTCTAACCACCTGACGGTATAACGCTATGCATGTTACCAAAATGTAACGTTTAACAGTGCGATTCCCTCTATTGTTAGTTCAATTTAGTGCTGTTTACTAGACCAGGGCTTGTCCATTTGTTGAGTCAATGTTAGCAAAAAGCCCTGGCTGTCGCACAAACGGGGGAAAACGTTTGAACATCTGACAAAAGAAGCTCTTTGCCAGGAACCTTTCTCGAGAACGCAATTTCTCTTTCCCGCTATTCTTGCGACCCCAACATTGTTGGTGTCACTGTTCCGGGAAGGAGAAGCTAAGAACACAGCATTGAGTTAACAGCCAACGTTGTCATTTATTTTCAATAGTTATTGGATAAAGCGCTCACTGTAAAATTTGGAGGCGTGGAAAAACGCTTTAGCGCTAAAGCCACTCAGCAAACAGTGGCACGAATATAAGTGTAATCACTTAAAGCAAATACTAAAGTTAAATAGACATTTCTAGAGATACTTTCTTTAAAGTTATACTATATATCACTTTGGTGCACGCGATATGATATTTAATAAATATTTCTTTTAGAATTTTTAGATCTAGTACTACGTGAAATGATTCATCGTTCCCTCGTGTTCGTGGATATGAAAATATTAAAATGACGATAAAAAAAAAGACACAGCATCGGAAGACGTTGTTTTGTGGTTTTAAATGGGGGCGGGGGTAGGTGAGTGGTGCAGCAATACTGAGTTCTTGCTACTGTGTAAGAACGGGGCCTGCGCACTAGGATAAAACTGCGTATTAATAAAATCATCGAGTAGGCGCAGGGGCGTTTCAAAGTGCTTCTCGTTAAAAAAAAAAAAAAAATATGGCACCTTTATTGAATTTTAACGAAATGTCAGTCAGGTTTTCTTCTCTCTTTTTTTTTTTTTTTTTTGCACAGAGTGCTATTAAGGTCTTAGATTCCAGCGGTTCGCAAAAGGTCGGTGCAGGCCTCTTTATGATTCTCCACGTCAGGATTATGAATCCTGACGTGGTGTCTTCATACATCACAGTACGGCGCCACAAACTGATATAGCGGACAACGATTCTGACATACCAAGGCTCCTATTTTTTTGCCGTTGCGGCACTGGCGTCAGGATTAGACAGAATATACGTCACAACCGATTAACCGCGTACGTAATCAAGAAACCTAAACATAAAAAAAGCAACACGAAACAAAAACGAGAAGCCTAATAATAACGCGACGTCATTTGGCATAGATTGCGCAAACAGAACTGTCGCTGTCGCCTTTCGAGATCGGCTCACGTTAAAAAGCCACGCCGCTGAATGTACACACAAAAAGAGGGGGTGGCCCGACCCTCCGCCGAGACAGACGTACACACCAGGCCGGTTTTTGTTCTTTCGTCTAGAGGTACCGCGTGTATGGTTGGGAGCGTGCCGAGCATTGAACGTTGATAAAAGCGTCGCGCGATACAAGTGAAGGAAACGAGGGGGGCCCGATTTGTCCCTGTCAAGTGCAGCGGGAACGCGACGCAGCCGACCGCCAAAAACGATTGCCTTTTCCAAACCCTTTAACGCTCGCGCAAACAGAGCGAGCCGCCGTCCGCAAACAATTCCTACCAGCCTCCCTTCCATCCAGATCGAACCGCACAGCGAAAGGTCCACTCCCTTCAAATTAATGGGCCTCAACTTTGAAACTGGGCGCCCGCTACCCCTACCCCTACGCCTCCCCTTTCCTTCCCCCCCCCCCCCTCCCCCGTCCCCCAAACCATCCCTCTTTATTACTTATTTCTAGCTCTTCTCCACAGATGGCGCTGCGCGCTGCGGTGGTCGCCGCAATCGAAACCCGTCCATTAAAAATTTTCCCGTGTCCCTCCAGCGCCATCTGTCGCGTTCGAAAGGAACTAAGTGCAGCCACGCCGGCAGTGGATCGGCGGCGGCGGCGTCCGGTCGTTCCGTCGCTCACTGCAGTGTTTCCAGACACCGAGAGCGCGACGCCCGGCAATTAGTCAGCGGAAACGAGCGGGAACGAAGCGGCAACCCGGCTAGTGGCGATTAAACGCGGCGAAGGAGAGCGGACGAGGGGCGAGAGGGCAGCGAACCTTTAATCAATGCGCGCGCGCCATCTCCGAGAAGCCGCTGCTTGAAATCCTGCAACGGCCATTAAGTAAGTCGCGGGGGTCTCCAATAACGTGTACAACAGGAAAGGCACTTGCTTCCCTCCCCCTCTCTCAAACTAGAACGCCGGCGCCGACTGGTGGCGCTCAAACCTCTTTCCCCCCTTCTTTTTTTTCGCCCGGAAGAAGGGGGGTGTCTGTAATTGAATTTCTGATTACAAGGCGAGCGGGAACCAGATGGGACCCACTTTTTGCGGATCTTGGCTTGGCTTGGCTCGGCGCGTAATGAGCAGAGCCTTGTTTTCCAGAGAACATCTACTGCCACCCAGGGTTGCTACTGCACCGCGCAGACATGTTCATTGTGCGGGATCGTGTGTGGGTGGAGAGAGCGAAGAAGGCTGGCAGCGCCCTCGAACGGTCGAACCAGAAAAACCGACAAAATGTGATGAAGAGCGAGCGGATCTTCCTTGCCGTGGGGAGAAACAAAAGCTTCCAGTCGCTTTCTTGCACAACTGTACAAGAGCACACGCCGAGATACACTTAGTGATACAGACACATAGATACTCGAACGAAAAACACCAGTGCCGAAAGGGGTAGAATGGTACAAAGATGCGCACAAAGTGGGCCAAACGTTGCAATACAGACGCGCGTATGGAACACGACATCAAACTGAGACGCGCGCGGAGTCACACACAAACAGAGAAATACACAAACACGCACATACACACACACTCACACACACGAAAACATATACACAGACACACACACAGGCGCGCACGCACAAACACGCAACCACGCACACAGATAAACGCATGAGGCAGTAAACAAAAGTCTATATTGTTGATGTCGTGGGTGCGAACGACAGCTCGGCGAGAAAACAAATAAAAAAAAACTTTATTGTGTCGACTGGAATTTTAAGTTTTGCTTTTGTTTTTTGATTCCTGCCCGACGGGAAAGGCTCTCGGTTTCTATCCTCCCCGTTTTTCTCGCCGAGCACGCGGCTGATAGATAGAGCTGCTGCCCGCGTCGCCGTTAACATTTTCTTGGCGACTCCGGCGGCAACGAAAGGCAAGAAATGACGACGAACCTTTAAAAAAATTCTGCGGGTATCCTCTTTTATTTATTTTTTTATTTTTTTATCCTTTCACTCGTAAATTGCAACGGTGCAAACAAAGCCAATGTTATGCGCTCAGAGCAAAAAGTATTGGCGGAAAGTCAGCCGATGCCTCGTATACGCTTACATTGTATCGCAGTGTTTTCTTTTTTTATTATATTTTGTTTAGGTAACAAGTAACGTTGAATAAAGTTAGCTCGGGGGACGCATTGAAAATTTGATCAGGTTCGTTTCGCTTGTACGTGTAAGTTTTCTCAGAGCTGAATAACGACGGGTGTTTATTGCCCTATTTTCGTGTTCTCAACGTGTTGATAATCATGGAAATATACTTAAGGGGCATAGTCATTTACTGGGTTAGAACGGCAGAGAGGTGCTTCCATTGTTTCACTTTCATCGAGAGACCTTCGACAACAGCTCGGTATCACGTGACCTTCGAACGTGCTCGCTCAGACAACGCACGATGGATGGCAAGAAGCGCGTGATGGTTGCC